ATGGTGCAGCCGCAATTGCCATATCTCCGCCAAATGCAGCTCAAGTGATTGGAGGAGTTTCTAGTGCTCCGATAGAGACAGACAGGCACTCACAGAGGGCCGCGGGAATTATGGGTAAGTAATTGTCGTCAGATGATCACAATTTGATTGTCAGTAGATTTATGTCATATTGCAGTTGAATCCGGGACCACTGAATCGAACAACTCAACAACGGGCCCCCAGGAGACTATCTATGTATGCAGCAGCACAGGCAAGAACAAAAAGCGTGAAGATTTGACGAGTCTTGGATCGGATGATTCCGGTAGGGAACTGTTTCGAAATTAATTTCAAATTTAGTTCATGGACAATTCTGTCATATATGAAACCATTTCCTTACATTGTTTAATGGACAATATGTAAGCTTATTAACTAATACACACTCTTTGCTCTCATTATTCGTTTCTCAGGCATTTTATGTGGCTCAGAGTCAGACCAATTATCGCTAAATCGCATATCCCACTCTCATGAGTCGCTCGATCTGGGCGCAATGGATGTCAATGCGAAAGCAGATGGCGATGTCGAAGCAGAGCAAACAACAACGCCCATTGATGCTGATCGTAACAGAATAGAATCTGATCTTTGTTTCTTGTCTTCTACAAAAGTTGACGAAATCGACTGCAGAACACTGCAACCCATGCCTGAGTCGCAGCCGATCAAAGCTGATGATCGAACGCGTTATCGCGTAATGAATATGTCTCAGGCGGCCATTAACTTGGAGCTCGGTACGGCACCTAATGAGATAGAGCCGGTGATGGATGTGAACGATGAGGATGTCATACCTACTTTGCCCACATCACAAACTGTGTCCAATAATATACCACCTATCGTAACGCCATCAAAAACAGTTGCAGCACACACACCCTGTGAAAGCAGTAAAAGTGAGCAGGTGTTGTTCAAGAGTTTTTTCGGTGCTACTAAGAATGCTATTTTCCGCACGGCCCAAAGCATCATTGAGAACCATGAAAAGAAGAATGCAATCAAGCAGAAAACGAGCGAGCCTCTGGAATCGTCCTCAACAATCTGCACTCCATCAAGTAGCGGAGGTCAAATGTCGTCAGATCTAGTCAAGTCGCCCACAGAGGTTTCCAAAAGGAAAGAGTTTTTCAGCTTACTAAGCTCCAGTTCCAGCAAAAAAGCAGCTGCGGCAGCTGTCAATCCTACCCCAATCGAATTGACAACAGAGGTAGCGAAAACCAATATTTCATCTAAGGGTGTGCAGATGAAAAAACCTGCGCTTACAGACCCTCAAGCAGCAGCGCAAAATGAGAAGACGGCGAGCTCATCCAAGAGCTCGCTGCAGCAAGTGAAGGTTCCTGTGCCAGGTGTAGTGAAATATATTAACGATCAGCCACCCGCCGCCGCTGCGCCACAGCAAAGCTACGAACGAGGTCCGAGCGGCTTGTTGCGGTTTTTTGAATCTCCTGTTTTCAATATACACTTCGCCGTGCATTACTTGTTCTACTCTAAAGAACCAGGTGTTCTGAGCTTCATTGGCAACAAGATCTTCAGCTTTTCCGACCAGGAGGTGGACCTATATATACCACAGTTGATCGTGATGTACATTGAAATGGATGAGCTTGCTGAAGTGCTTGATCCCTATCTCACAATTCGGTGCCGAAAGTCTGTTGATTTTTCGCTTAAGTGCTTGTGGCTTTTGGAGGCATACAATCATCAGGTTGACTCGTTGGGTAGCTGCAATAAAGGCCGCAAATCCAAGCTGTCTCTCATGAAGGAAATTTTCATCAAGGAGAGCAAGCCCCAAGTCAAACCACAACAAAGCCCGTCTGTTTCCTTGGTCAAGAAAACGCATTATCGCTCGCAGTCAGATGCCACAGTGCTATTAGTCGATTCCAACAACCCACATTCGATCAACATGGCGCATCGGATATCCACAGCACCCGCAAAGTTGTGCTTGGGCGATCTCAGCTCGGGTCGTGCCTTCGACAATGGTTGCACATGTTTTCAAACTGTGCGTGGACAGGTTAATGGCTTGCTGGGTCATCGGACCTTTTGCAATTGCGGCGCTCCAAAGACTTCGCCGCAAAAGGAGTTCATGAAGGCGCTAATCAATGCGGGCAAGAATTTAACGTCCTTGTCCTCGAAGGCAGAGAAGACATCAGCGCTGCGTATGTTTCTCAATTTGATTAACAAAAATCTGCCAGCTCGTGTCTGGCTGCCGCTCTACTCGGATATTCCGCATCATGTGGTGCGCATCACAGAGGAAAAGACTGCTGTATTAAATTCGAAGGATAAAACCCCGTACATCATATATGTAGAAGTGGTCGAAGTAGACGACATCCACACCTCGCCGCTCATTCCAAAGATGATGCCGTCGCTGCGGCATACCAAGAGTGAGGAGCACTTGGAGGGCGTTTGTCTGAACTCCCAACACCACTGCAACAGCGACAGTCATCAAGGCTCCAGTTGCCGACGCAAAAAGGGCACCGAATCGTCGTCATCAAACACAGACAGCGGTTGTGGGGAGCCAGCCGCCCACAGTTGTTGCTGTAGTGGGAACCCGAGCAATCAGCTGTCCCTGGGTGGACTGCAGCTGAATTCAGATGATGCCTGGTCCCAGGAAGATGATGACATCACGGCGCAATACTTGAACATGCGCAAAATCAGCGAACGTGACTCCATTTCGCAGATGTCATTAGATTCGTGCGACTCGAGGGACCAAGGTGAATCGTTCAATCTAAAAATTTCGGTCAAGCAGAAAATAACTTTCAACTTATAGGTCCGCCAGTTGTGTTTAACATTGGCGATGTTCGCACTCGGCACTGTAAAAATTTGAGTTGCGAGAACACGAAGCCGTTCAGCAATGATCCCGAGGATCCATCTGCAGCTGCCCTGAAGGTTAGCTCACAATCCAAACTCTTAAAGTAGTTGCAGTCTGTAATCTGATTGATTTCTAGGAGCCCTGGCATGAGAAGGAGAAGCTCATACGCGAGTCCTCGCCCTATGGTCATTTATCAAATTGGCGTCTTTTATCCGCCATCGTGAAGTGTGGCGATGACTTGCGGCAAGAACTGATGGCCACACAGCTATTGCAGGTCATTATTAAATTTATGCATTAGCTTCGAACGACTTACTACTTATAAATCACTTTATAGATGTTTAAAATCATTTGGCTGGAGGAAAACGTGGATCTGTGGGTGCGGCCGTATAAAATAATATGTCTATCGAATGACAGTGGTTTGATTGAGCCCATTTTGAACACGGTTTCATTGCATCAAATCAAAAAGAACTCGAACAAATCATTGCGGGACTATTTTATTGGCGAATATGGAGCAGCAACAGGCGAAAGATTTTGTCAAGCCCAAAAGAATTTTGTTCAAAGTTGTGCGGCATATTGTCTGATATCTTATCTGCTGCAGGTTAAAGATAGGTAAGATAAATGATATTTTTGTTAAAGATGACCCAATTGACTCCTCTGTTGTCTATTCACAGACATAATGGTAACATACTCTTACATTCTGATGGCCATATAATACACATAGACTTCGGTTTTATTCTAAGCATATCCCCCAAGAACTTGGGTAATTATTTAAATTTGAAGTATCTATAGAGTAAACACTAAGTTCTTAATATTTATTTTATATTAGGTTTTGAGCAGTCGCCTTTTAAGCTGACTCATGAATTTGTGGATGTAATGGGCGGCACAGACTCCGAGCATTGGCGAGAGTTCAATCGCTTGCTGCTCGTAGGCATGATGTCTGTGCGCAAGCACATGGATCGCATTATAAACTTGGTGGAAATCATGCGAAGCAGTAAGTAAATAGCGCTCCATAGAAACATCAAATTATATTTTGTTCTTGTAGATGCGCATTTGCCCTGCTTTAAGAACGGCTGTTCCGGTACCGTACAGAATCTCCGCAAACGCTTTCATATGAATTTAACTGAACAGGAAATGGAACGCAAGGTGGAGCAGCTTGTGCAAGACTCGCTGAAAAGTCTCTCAACTAAACTGTATGATGGATATCAATATTATACGAATGGCATATTGTGAGAATGGTTTCTGTAACAAAATCGATTGGATTGATCAGCAATATGCTAATATGATACACCAAACCTATGGACTGTTGAAAAGAAATATTTTAATTTTATATGTACACATTTGAATGAAAATATATTCAAATATATATATGCAAATTAATAATCTATATTCATTTATATATAAATACATTATCATTCAGAGTATATGAACAAAAAGAATGCAGAAAATTAATATTGTACCTATTAGCACCTGTTATTTAATCCAGACTCGTTAAATATTCATATTGGCACTGTTATTATACCTAATTAATAATATGATAATATCTTAGAGTAATGTGAATGTTGTCTAGCTTATAAGCAAAAGTGTAAATGTATTTGACTCCTATCTCTTTGTCGTGTCTTCTGTCGATCCTATATTGCATCTGGCCATCCAAGTAATCAGTAAGTAAATATATTTAGGATCATCAATCTGTAATTATTAAATTTGCTAAAGCGCTATGCATATTAATTTTTTAAGAAACTATAAACTATTTCTAAATTGTTTACTCAACAATGTACCAACTACATTCGATAAATTTACTGAAAATTCTACTTAAAATGAATTCTAAAAATTGAAGATAATAGCTATTGTATTTTACTTATAGTTAAACTATCTAAATAATATGTATATATTTATCACAGGTGCCGCATATATAAATCTCTGTTTGCTTTCGAATTTATATAATCGGAACAATGTTTTTTACAATTACTGGCAATAGTCTGCCAAAATCTCAAAGAAGAGAGAATTAAGCGTTTGAAGCTTACATTGAAAATTTGTTGTATGTTGAACCAATAATATTGTATAGCTTTTGTGTATAACGTAAATATAAGCATTATGTATATGATTACTATATATACACATGTTTATATCATATAAGAAAGCTTTAATAAACTCAATAATTAACGAAAATATTTTAGGTATTATAAATAAATAGAATTGTGGTTTAGCTGAATGTAATGTATCATATTAGCTCATGACCCACTCGTTGCTAGCTACACACAGGGTAGGTATTGTGTCTTGATGAAAGCATAACAACGTTTGCATAGAAACCAAATATTGATACGGAAAATAATTGTGTGTAGAAAATTTAGGTTTTGACTATTGTTTTATTATAATAACTGCCTTTAATATAAAGAACCAAATAGTGCACATTTCATATTCAATTGAAAATGGATCCCACTAAACTAGTTGGAAGAATGTATGATTTAAATATATAAATTAAAACTTACATAACTCTAACTCAAATAATTAAAGAATTTTCCTATATTTTGTAGCAAAGAATCTGTACGCTTAGAGCACAAGGCGCGTAGAAGCTTTCCACTCATCTGGAATGGAATTACATCCCGTTCAAATAATAAGTTTTATCACCAAGATGAACTGGATAAGATGCTAATGGAGAAGCTTCAACTACCAGGTTGGTATTCTTCATTTCTAACATAAATTATAATTATTAATAAATTTATATTATAGCACCCGACAACAAGGCTCAATCGCATTTTATTTCAGCTGAAATGCAAAAGAATTTACTGGACATTTGTCGCTGTGGGCGACCTAGGCATGGCATCCATTTGACCAAGTGTCTGCAACGAGCTGTAAATAAGAATCTACAATCTGAAGAATCTGAATCGAAAGCCGTAAATAAAATGCCTCAGACTTCAAATTGTAAGTTTCCAGCAGATCTTCTTTTCTAGTGCTTAATGTGACTTATTCTTTCCAGCATTTATTGGATTTAAAACAGCTCCTTATCAAAAGTTAGAACGGTCCATGCAGTATATATCGCCTACAATCTCTATGCCGGGGCCTCGTATCACTGCTGCCCCATACAATGCCATTATTATAGGTTGACAAAGATTATTTTAACCGAAAATGTAATCTAAATTAACAATCGCTTACGGCATATACAAATATAATTCCTTTCATCAGCAAACATGATCTCAATATACTTAACTCAAATGTGATAAAGACTTTCCTGGATTAAATCCGATCTGAGCGCATCCAATCTCTTAGGAATAGCATTGAGATAGGGGAAATTTCCCAAATCTTATAGTTTTATTAAAACTTGAACCTGATATTGATATTTAAAAAAACGTTTAACTCTTAAGTATCTTGGGGACATCCCACTTAAGATTTCTGTGGCAACGTGATACACACATAAGCATCGAACTGGATTTACTAGTAAGTCATTCATTGCGAAAACCAGTTTTATGAAATCATTTCTGTTTTTCAACCTTAGTAGTAGTAGAGCTGAGTGTAGGTTACCTAGCTGGGGTTTTAGTTCAAATGCAACTTCTCACGGGTCTACTTGTACGGAAATGTCTAACTATCTGCAATTTTGGCTGTTTGCGATTTGGGCTCTTATCACTGCAGACTTGGTGGCCAGCCAAGATTTCCTCATATTCGCGGCAACGACAGGTTCTCCATTGATGACTACAAGGCCAACGGTCCGTTCGACTGGCGACTTTGTGCTGGTCAACAATTCGCCAGTAGTGGGCACGATGACACCATTTAGCACAAACGCTGCGCCGCCCACCCAAGCATTCATCGATTGCTTTGGCCGTTGTCCAACCACGCCGGAGTATAATCCGATTTGCGCCAGCAACAGGCAACTGTATCTCAATGAACAAAAATTCAACTGCGCTCGCTTTTGCGGTGCCGGTGAGTAGAGCTAATAGAGCATTAATAACGCAAAGATTTCCATTGACTGACTCAGTTTTTATTATTCACAGATATACGAATTGTGCGTCGCGGTAGCTGCGAGGGTCTGTTTCCCATGCAACGCGGATGACGTCGGTTATCCAGACTTTATGCTTAAACAATGAAATGTAAAAACCTGTATAAACATTTAAGCACCTTTTAATCGGCATCCCCCGTCTGCACTATACCCTGTTAATATGTTACAATATATGCGTAATAGATATGCGTAAACGACTCATATTATGGAAACATCATATACTTTTAAGACTGCACGCCCGAACTACCCCACTGTAGATTATGAACAGGGAATATTTTATAGCAAACATGTGTCGAGAATTCTCAAGAATGAATGATCTGTATAAACATGTAAGCAATCGTGATTTTGATAAGATTTTCTGAATATTAATGTATGTACAAAAACAGCTGGTGAGGCTGTTTAAATTATTATACTATATTATAATACCCTGTACTAAAGTACAAATGCATTAAGTTTCTTTTTTTTTTTAATTCATAAAAACACTACTATTTTTAATATTTTTGTCAAACTGTATTTTTTAATGTTGTAAAAGAAACCATTTTGAATCAAAAATGGAATGGGAGTAAATTTTCAACATTTGAAAATCATTGCTTTCCCAATTGAAGCTGCAGTGCCTCGCACGGCCTTACCTTTATAGAAATACCCATTCAGGACAAAATTTTTGCATGCAGGGTATACTAGAAGTGGAAAGCTGATGACATACAGGTTGTCAGCATTGCCGTCTTCAGTTCCATTTTAAGCCCCGAAGAGTATAGCACACACGGTTGCGGAACCTTCGAAATATCTTATCAAGATGTTAAAGTCTTATCAGCTACTTTTAAGCATAGGTCAGCTTATTTTCTTTATACAATATTTGTGCGCAGCTTCCGTTCCTCTTTAACATCTCGAATTTGTCATCTATACAGTATTGCTGATTGCATTTTTTAACATTGGGACAAATTCATTCGTACGACGTGCGAATGTAACGATTACAAAGCCAGTATGGAATAGATATAATAACACTAGGCCTTATTACGGAGCATTCAATGGAAGTCGAGTTATACAGCCCGTGCAGAGCAGTCCGCAATTTGCAGCACCTTACCAAGGAGCAGTTCAACAACCAAACATAGGATTCAGTAGCATTCTTTTCGGCTCTGGTACTCCAATCCAACCCTATGGAATTAATGCTCAGCCGTACTACCCAAACAGTACTACGCATGGAAATTTTAACTATACCAAAAGTGCTCAAGCCAATAGCACTTATCCATACGCCAGGCTTTTCAAGTTCTGGTAAAATTCTGTATATTCCAATATTGAAGTAAAGCAACATATTAAATGAGAACAATCAAGATTTTTTTTTTCAAACATTTATTTTGCAGATCATCTGTTTTTGTTTTCCATATATAGGGGTTTGGACTGTCGGAATTAATAAAGTTCAAATTCGAAATTTCTTTTCATTTTTTCAAACAATATTTATTGTGCAGATAATCCGATTTTAATTGACATTAGATTATCTGGATCATCGTGTTAAATAGCTTTCCGGTATTCCAGGAACGTTTTTATAATACAGTATATGTTGATATGATGATTGGCTCCACTCATGGGGTTATTAGGTCAAGGGGTGCAGGTTATTGATGTTTAATTAAGCACTAAGTCGTTCAGTCCTTCTATATAGATGACAGTTGTAGGTATACAGGTAGAGCATAGCTAATTATGGAAGTATATCAGCTTTGAACGTATAATTTGTATCATGTTCTTAGGTGCTAGGGGAATACCGACGATGATCATAAAGAAAAACAAAGCCCGATGTAGTACAATTTCAAAATAATCCCACGCCGCCGTCCGAAGCTCCCACGCCGCAGTCGCGCAACTCCCTCGCCGCCGTCAGGTAATCCCTCGCCGCAGTCAGGACCTCCCACGCAGCCGTCCCCGCTCGAGACTCCCTCGCCGCAGTCAGTTCGCAAATCCCACGAAGTCCTCCGCAAAGTCCCTCGCCGCAGTCAATTCACCAATTCGGCGTCCCTCCCATCAATCCTAGAGAAGTGTTGTACCTAGCGCCCTCGCCTAACCAAATCCCTAAAAGTCCCACGCCGAAAACTTGCGAATCCCTCGCCGCCGTCAGTTCTATTGGTATCCCACGCCGCAGTCAAAGCTTAAGTCCCACGCTGCCGTCATAATGTAGCTCAAATGTTGTTCCAAAATTTCAGAAAGTATATTCTCAATGCTCAAAAAAAAATTCTAATTGCCCGAAACGATGCGTTCTCAGAAAACGTCAAAAATAAACGGCCTCATCTCATCAGTCATAGTAGTAGAGTAGTAGAAGAAATTAGCAGAGTACCAGAATAAAATGACCAGAGTAAGTTCCTATCGCTGCCAGCGAGCCCTAATGCAGGGAAATGTGTGTGTGTTATAGATGCGAAGCAATATTTCTTAAGGCTGAAGTTGCAGTTGTCCAAACAGGGATTCAAAAAGTGTCCTACGCGTTTATATGCTAGCCATCGTACGAAGAGAAAGGTGATTGTGCAGGCGGTCGTGTCGATGAAAATGATGATTTCTTTTCGCAATAGTAGTAGTAGAATTGTGGCTTGCAAATCGGTTGAGTTCTGCCTATTTGCCTCGGACTGGATGCAGTTGTGACAAAGATGAAAATGTTCCCAAACTAGTTCGATATTTATTCCTAACGAAGACCTCCAGAGGTACGTGCAGATGTGTTTGTATAGTGATAAGCCGTCAATGCCGTAAGATGATTTAAAAGGACCCTTGCCGCTCCAGCTCGTCAACAAGAAAATGTCGATTAAAAGCGCTGCGACGACATCTGAGTCGACTTAGAAAAACAACCAAGCTCGGATGAGATTCAATCTCAGCACATGGGGTGGTGGATGGTTGAATTTTGTCGATCAGGTTATAATCAATAGATTGCCCAGTTGTAGCAATCTCTGCCAGCCAAACTTGAACGGTTGATTGTGTCGTCCCATCCCGTACCCTCTCAGCAAAAGGCCCTGAAGATTAATAGACGACAAAGGTATGGGTAGGCCCGTAGAGAAATGAAGTTGTTTCATTCAAGTCGCTCCTTCACTCTCTCTCATTACGGGCGGGTAGTAGGCCATCATCAGGGATCCTCGTCTGTCGAATTCATCTACGAACGAGTCGTCCCTGCCACGTTTCTTAAGCCATACTAATATGTACATGTCACAGTTTTACAATAATACAAATACAATTCAATCTTACAATACCAGTATCGAAAACTTATACAATTTTTAACAAGTAACATGTGATAGCTCATTTGCATGGCTGTACAATATACATTAATATAGTTGACAATGGCTATAGACCAGAAGAATTTCATTTTTCACAGTACCTCATCATGGAAGGATACATACTTCATCGTATGATCTAAAATACATAAACTGAGATAAAAAAAGGAAAAAAAAAAAAACATAAAAAAAAAAAACAAGATACAGAATATAAATGTAGCGCGTGTCTCATGGATTCCCTTCGAGAACAACTTGACGTGTGCTGGCTGGACAGACTGACAGTCGACCAGGTTGGAAGAGTAGTTATCTGAAAAAACAAGTACACACCAACAACAACAACAACAAAATGGACAGGGATCAGCTATTCAAATTGATGCTGGCATCGATTCCCTGCCTGCCTGCTTGCTCGATCASTCGCTCGCTGTATGGTGCGCTCTTCATCTTGAGGATTCGGATGCTCGTTTTTGGGCCGCCACAATACAGGAAATCCCGCATGTGTGTGCGTGAGTGTGTCTGTGTGTGTGTGCGTTGCTGCAGTACCACCTCGCAATTGTTTCCCATTTGCGGAATGTTGAACGGTGCACCAGGAGTTAAGCGCTCAACTGGCAAATCGAAGCGTAGCGTAGAGCTGATTCAACTAGCTAGCTTCTTCGTCATCGAACACTAATCGCATTTGATTCCCTTTGCGATGGATTTGATTGATTACCGGGGGGTTATATTCTGTTAAAAATATGTGCGACCTAAGAAATGGGAGTGAGCGGATAAGTTACACAACAGATTATAGAACCAGTTGAATACCACCACCGCCGGCTGGCCGGTTCTTCGATCTCTTGATCGCTGCCATCTGTCGCGACTGCTGCTGCACAGGATTTGATCTGATGCTTGGAACACTAGTCGCATTTGATTCCCATTTGCGATAAGCCACGAGCACGAATTCCTCAGGTTGGATCGTTAGGGCTTCATAGCTGCTTCTACTATATACTACCAATATACATACACTTGGCTTGCAGGGCGCACAAAATGCTGAAAGCGAGAACGAGGCGACGGCGACCATGAAGACGACGACGACGATGCTTGAGTGCCGGTAGCGTACTTGCAGGCAGCTGCCCGATAACAACGACAACACATCAGCTCGCCTCTTAAGCGAGTGCTGGTGATTGTGTGGTGTGGCGGGTCTCGGTCCAAACGCATTTGTTTCCCTTTAGCGCGGACCGAGCGCATATTTCTATGCGGTGCAATGCATTACGTGCTGGACTGAGAGCTGACCCAGCCTCGTCTTGGCCGAGCTAGGCTGCGATACCTCCTTAATAGGGGAACAGAGGCTGCTTCTTGTGTTCAAGTGGTCGGGTCGTTAGTACGTAGGAGCTGGAGTGCATCAACTACCAACTAGCCATTAGCCAGTAGACGACTATCGTCGTTGCCCAATATCGTGCAGCTTACGTTTCTGTAATGTAAAAACGTTAAATTGTACGAAGTACAAAACGATCTACTTGGATCTGTATTTGTATCTGTGATTCAGCAGGCTATTTGGCTGGACTCGACTCTCGACTCGCATTGGCCATCAAAAGGCAGCTGGGATCAGTTGTTATACATTTTGTTGTTGTGGTGCTGGCATTGTTTGAAGACTGTACCTAGCTGGATGAACTTGATGTATCGTTTTTGATTCCCTTTAACGATTTTGTTGTGTGAGAGCTAGTAGAGTTGGAAAATATATAGAATTCGTGTGTACATATTGTACCTCCGGAGCGTTCCCAAAACGGAATTTGCAGTAGTATTAAGCACATTCAACTGCCTCACAAATCGCTGCAAAAGTGAAAGTGCAAAGCAAAAATGGTAAGCGAACAAATTTCTCACGTCGTCAATTGAGTTCCAAGTGACTAAAGCAGGAAGGCCTATCCTCGATCTAAAGATGGTAATATGCGATGATGGCTTTTATGGACGTATTAGTTTGCAAGTACTTCAAGATCGTCTTTTCTCTTAGGCTGTAAGACATATTTAAGCAATTCAAGGCGTATTCAGTATCGGGCTGACCTTAATAAATCAACCGGAATGATGTTGGTCAACTCTCGAGGAGGTGTATATTGCTTGCAAGTTGGCTTTTCATTCTCATTGCCTCAAGGAATATTGCTATAGGTATTCGGGTTTCTTTGCGATTTTTCCAGGAGGGTAGCAACCAAGAAACGTCACTGTAATTAATACATGACATGCTTAGAAAGAAAGCTGTAGGTAAAAGTAGAGAGAAAGTAAACTTCTGTGACAAATCCTTTATCGTTGCTGATGTCTTAAGGGGATGACCCCAGGTCAATAACAAAGTCTTCACTTCCTCGCCGACATGGCATCTTTATCCTCTATCACTTGGAAAGCTACCGACAGATATGCGCAGGCACATTCAACTGCGGTTCTTAGCTACAAGATACAAAAAGCAAGAATTTTGCACAAAGGAAATCGCATAATTTACATGAAAATCCTTTAGATGACGTTTCCTCGCTTGAGCTACAAGAAGTATTACCCTATTTGTGGGGATTTACAACTTCCAATATGCGCAGGCACCGTTCAACTGCGTCATATTGCTATAAAATACAAAAAGAAATGTTTTTTGTTTGGCAAAATCTCAAAATTTACGCTCGATTCTTTCGTCTTTCTGCTATATTGATATAGGTTCATTCCTCCGACCATTGTCCAAGACAATAAGTCCACCTCACGGTCGTTTAGATTTTCAGTTTGCCGCCTGGCTGGAAATCATATAAACACGTTTACGAAACAGTTGTGCTGGCTACAAGAGCCAAATTAAGAGTAGAAATAGTAAAAATTACGCTATCCAGGATATTATGATTATGTTTATGATCATCCATCAACGTTCATAAATTAGTTTCTCGGTTTCAGCTCTTAACGAACAGACCATTGGCCCAACTTGCTAAAAGAGAAACAAACGCAACATTTTTTCTTGTTAGGTAATAAGAAACACGTTACGCGTTTTTGGCCAGCTCTTTATCTCGACTTGTAATCCTGGCGTACTTCTAAACGTGCAACTTGAGTTGACAGAAAAGATGGCTTAGTCTGTGTTTTGCTTGCTCATGGTCATATCCTTGCAGACGCACGCAGGCACCGTTCAACTGCGTCACGTCGCTAAAAAATATATGTATAAACAAGAAATGTTTTGTGTCCTAAGTTTTAGAGGTGTCCACAGGGCGGGCGCTTAAAGCTGCTTGATCTTATACTGTCAGACCAGACTAGGAATGGATGCGACTTTCCATTGATGAAACCAGATGCTCACAGGCACTGTTCAACTGTGATGCATCGCTACAAAAAAATTGAAGCCCACGTATTTATGCTAAACATAGCGATAGTGACAAACAAATATCAAACTTCTTCCTATATTACGATACGATAGTTCGCCAACTCCGCCGATTCCTCTATCAATCTGTAGATAAGTGTGCAGCCCCTCACTCTTCATGGAGTGTGTGGATATGAGAGTTCATTGAATTTCATAGTATTTCTTAACTGCAATTCAAGAGTTAATCAAGAAGAAAAATTCGATACGGCTTACGTGCCACCAAATTCAAGTGAAGAAATGAAGTGATAAGTAGAATACGAGGATGCTGAGAAGTTGCTGAAGCTGCAGATAATGACAACGACGACGACGACAACACGACGAAGACGAAGAGATTCCATTCTATGATTTCCTTTTGCTGTAAATCTGTTTTAAAAAGTAATTGTTTTGCGTTCGCAGCTGATATACGAATACCGCGTGTATGCAGAGATATCTGTGTGGATTGGTGGTGGTAGTAGGTGCCGTCAGCAACTGCTAACCGCTTTATGTATAGTAGGTAGTGATTGTTGTGATGGTGGTAACCGACCAGGAAGCATAAGGCACACACACGTGTTTGCTGTTGAGCTCAAGCTGCTGCTGCCGCGCGCAATTCCGCCTTGTCCCCATTTATCTGTCAGCTGCATCTGGCATTTTGGGTAAGGGAGACTCGGTGGTGTTTGCTGCTGCTGCTGCCGCTGCTAGTTTGCTGTTTCGGCCAACTGTGTAGGATCGGCTGGTGTGCAACTGGCTGCCATTGTGGATGTAGAAGACGGACAGACGTGAAGACTCACTCAGTGATTAAAACGAAAATCAAGCAGACGATTATCGATCGGATTGATTGATGATGCAGGTTGGTAGGTAGGTATCGATTTCATTGCCCATCGATTTAATGTTTTCTGTTTTGATGTGGTTGCTCTTGCTGTTTGTCAAGTGTTCCGTTCCTCCTCATCGTTGCCATTAACGTTTCGAGGAGCAGGAAAACTGTAAAACAAAATCAGTTATAGACGAATATGTTTACGACAAATGACAGGGAGAGTGAGAGACTTAGACATGTAAAAATAAAGGCAACACTGATTTCAAAATTACATACAAGTTTAATTTTATTTATCTTACATACATTTATCAGTTCCAAGTATTTGTTCTATATACATTTTTAGCACAAAAGCTAACGACGACAGTATTTTGACAGATTTAAACCTAAGCTATCTATTATCATGTTATTCTCCGATTCAATATGAATCACTATCTTTCTGACTCAAAACTATTTCATAGAAGCGGACGCACTGATAGAAAAAATATAAATAGTATACAAGTCTACCTAAGGTTTGCCTATGCACGAAAGAGAAATCAAAAACAAAGGCAATGCATGTATACTAATACACATACTTTGAACATATGCATGTATATACACACACATCCGTAGACACATAAAGAAGGCTGTTCCGTAAAACAAAAACCTTGTCTGTATTCACACATACATACATACGCAGCAGCGCATGTTTGTACACTTATGCATTTGAGTATACAGACACATTTCAAAATGGCGTCGCCATTGTACGTACCTGCGTATGTGTGTATGTATGTGTCGTCTTTGTGCGAAGCAACCCTCAGCTACACAAGCCACTAAAAACGTTTTCTCTTGTCGCTTACTATGAACATATTAGCTAGTTTCAGAAACAATATTACTAAATTAAAACTAAATTGATTAGATAAATTTACAAACCGAGTGTGAATTCCGGACCAAAGGCTTCAGGTGAGCGTTGATTGACAGCAGTTGCTCATGACTCATACCACTCGCTCTGTCACGAAGGCCATTTGCTCGTCCTCATCATATCACACTCTTCTTCACAGCCTTCACATTTTTTCATTACAATCTATGTATGTATAACAGGTTTGCACACGTATTGCAACTGCAAATGAGAAATTTCTTTCGTAATAAAACTAATTTAACAAATATATCAACGAAATTAATAAACAAGGTAAGCATGACGAATTTTTGAGCTAAAACACATTTCTCTTATGTACATATATCCAAGTATATATGTTTGTCTCTTTTTAACTAACTGCTCACTGCAATGGCGCATTGGCTATTGTTGTTTTTGTTGCTGCTGCTTAAACTGCTCAAAAATCTGTCGAGGCCACTCAGTTCGCTTTGCCACAAATTATTTTCGACATTGCGACGTTCGAATTCTTCCGTCTCCGTTTCCTCTGTGACGTCACACGCATGATGAAATTTATCGTTGCAGTTGTTATTTTGATTGTGGGTTTTGTTGCCGTTGGGAATAAATTTCGTTTGGACGTCGAGCCAACGACTGAATCGTTCCTGCTGCTTTCTGCGCAGCTCATGCTCTGCGCTGAAGAGAGCCGTCGACAAAATGGCGTTCACGCGTAAACTGCCTGAGCCACGCAATTTACGACGCATTTGCATGCGTTTCATGCGAAAATTTCGCACCCAATACGTTAATGTTTTCGGCTGCTCAACATTATCGAATTCATCATAATACGCAACCATTTCGAATGATTTTAATTCTTTTCTTCTATAACTTTCTTTTTACTATAGACACATACAAACACACACCTCTTTTGTTGGCAAGAGCTGCTCACACACTATCTGACACTTTCCAGAAACTGAACTTTTAGACTAATGCACGTCCTCTCGGAACAACTTTTCAACAGAGAATGCTCGAACGAGTGGGAATGACGCGATATTTATAGCTGTGCTCGCAGTAGCGATATGTATTGCTACGCGACGCTGCTGAATGTAGTACCTGATTTTGCAACCCGTTTCTCAATAGGGAGGTAGCTGGATGGCGCAGAAAACTAGTTTTTAGAATATTTAATATTGCTGCAAGATCTAGTTTTGAAGAGAATTTATTTTTCTTTGGATTTGGGTTGTTAAAATAAATTGTAATATTGCCCCCTATTTTCTTGTCAAGCAAGGCAGAATATTTCAGTTTCGATGTACCTGCCAACTCGTTTTAAGGCATGTAGAAAAATTCAATTGAGCAGATGGCTGAATATCGATATTTTAAACGTACCGATAGCTGTTAATTTTTCATTGCTGGTTTTCTTCTTATTTATTTTTTTTAATAAATGACATTAATACAATTTTTTAATAATTATAATAATGAATAAGTATCACAATTAGTACGCATATAATATTCAAAGACATACGATATACATTGGTTTGCACTGCAGATTTAGAGTAGCGAGATCTAGACCAGTTCATTCACTAATGGAATTGGAATTATCTTCAAGTAGTAAGCTGCTTTATTCATGTTTAATTATTTGGACCATTTACATATGTACATATGTATTTATAAGAAGAAAAACGAACTGCTCGATGGGAAACGTGATCATACATGAGTGAAAAGCACAAAGTATCGTACATGGCCCACGATTGTTCACTTCTCACTGAATTAGTTCATTTGATCTGTTTATTCATAAAACTTTTCTAGCGAATTTTATGAAATGCGAATGTCGTTAAATTGACTATGTTTTTTATTGCAGCCTAAACGCATGCAATATTTTTAGTGTTCACTGGAGAATAGTCAGCACAAATTGACCATCGATATTAAAATAAAAAAATTTGGTATTAAGTAACCTTAAAAACATTTAACATATACAATATTTATTCATCGGTTGTCAAAATTGCCTAATCAATGCGTAAAATAGCTTTATATATGGTTCTATATGGTTCCATTAGTAGCCCGAGAACACATAGAGTAGACATCTCTAAAATTTTTTCCCTGGTTAGTGGTTCCATGCAAATAACGTTTATTTCCACATCGAGTTGTTCAGCACTGAAAGTATTCAAAAAGTGTGTTACAGCACTACTCGAATAGTCAGTTTAATTTTGTAGTGTCATCGAGCAAAAATGGATGCATGCGAACAGGAAAATAAAGTCAAGAAAAGGAAAGATAAACTGTAAGTAAAAATAGTTAAATTGTTATGATATACAGGTCTGATTTACGCGTTAAATTGCTTCAGCTTTCCGTTTAAGTGCTCTGAAGCGTACACCAATGAATTGCCCGATCCGAAAATTGACTGCAAGTTTCTGCCATGTGGTAAAAGTTTGATGGACTATACCGAGGAACCTATTTCCTTTCCACAGTTGGAAATGCAGCTTAGCCATACATTTAACGGTCTTCATATGTTGTTCGATATCGATCTGATCAATCAGAATTGCTATAACCAAGTCCCTGGGGAGGCCAACGAAATGGATCCCAAGGATGCTGAGTTGTTGACTGACATTGAGGCGGTGCAAATCAACAATTCCACGTTGAAGGGTTCGTATACTTTTCTCACACGCGCTCAAGAATACCGCGAACTCCTTGCCAAGAAGCGTTCCACTATGCCACGCCTACAACATCTAGAGCCAGAGTCGGATGATCTGGATCTGGATTCATTCAGCGTGGAACAGCAGATACAGATTATAGAGCAAACATTTGTGGACGTAAATAGGCCGCTGTGTGCCCATCCCACCAAGTCGAACAGCAGTGTTCGGCCGGTCGCACAGCTGCCGGTGTTTCCAGAATCCAGACAACTCGAGCTTGTACAAGTCCATTTTCATACACCGCCCTTTGCTAATACCAATAGTATACTCAAGGATTGTGGAAGCTACTATATAAACTTTAAACAAAAGCCCGAGCCGGTTTTTCAAAGAATTAATCAAAAATATGGCAAATATCTAACTGCTTATCTCTCCGAGCAGCGCTTCAGGGTACCTATCTCAGAAACCAATGAATCCGACGATTGTGTTGAGCGATTCATATTGCGTGAGAAGGATGGCTGTCTCTACTATCAAATGCTTAGCAAATATATCAGGTTACAGAAGGACCAGACAATTCAGGATTCGTTTTCTAGCCTATCCCTACTGGCAAGTCCACACAAGACTTTTTCAATTGATATGTATTGATGTATTGATATTTCCTCTCTTTGACAGGTGAGGCGCTCTAAGTAAGAACAGAAACAACCCATCTCTAGCTACAAGATGTCATTGGACTGATCTTGATCAAATCGGCGTTTCTACATAGCTCTCCCATCTCCCATCTCTAAACAAATATAGTAAACGGTCCTGAAGAAATAATTTAAGATATATATTGTAAGCAGGTCGGATTTATGATACAGCAATTGCTTAAATGTTATACCTAATTTGAAACATCCTTAATTCATCAGCAAATATTCTCAATTATATTATTTAAACAATATTGAATTATACAATTTCCTGTTAGTTTATAGTCATAATATATAGTATACATAGTGATTTATTAAAATATAAATATCTAAAATACCTACGGGATCGCACCCATCTCCGGCATGTGTATAAAACGTGAGAGCAGAATCCAAGTATCGCTTTCAAATGCTCTCAAATCTCAGGCTACATTTTCCCTATATATCAAATCACATTCACTAGATACATTCAACGTTTGCTCCGCATTAGTAGGCCCCATGTACGAAACATATATACATATGTAAAAAATTTCGTGAAATTGAGTAAAACTACGCTCCGCGCTTTAAATCCCAAATTGTAGAACTATGAAACCGGTTATCGAATGGCTAATTAGCGTTTGTGCTGGCCTCCTCTTTAGCACTCAGTCCATGCGTATTTTGAAGATAGCCAACGATGAGAAGAATTCACCATCGTCGTCCTCCTCACAGACCAAGTCCGTAACGGCGATTCAAGACGAACTGGAAAAGCCCTACATTATGGGATCCGAGCAGATAAGCGCCGCGTTGCAGACTGTTTTGAGCAGCGATGGAAATAACCTAGATAATCAGTCGTTATCCGACAACAACAACAACAATAACAACAACAACGGACAATTCGAGTATACTTTGGGCTCGGAGTCGTTGAATCGCATGTTGGAGGACATGTTGGCACGTCCATGCAGCGAGAATTTGGAGCTACCCCATATCGAGCCGGCAATACAGCTTTAACTATTACATATTGTATATATCTGTATGTACATACATATATCTACATATATGTATGTATATACATATATAAATTGTCAATTGATACGTTCAGTTTCTTTTTTTATCTGTATGAATTCCTGAATAAATTAACAAATATGGTCGACTAAACAAAAGGTACATACAGATATACATATGATTGTATATGTATGTATATGTATATGAGGTGGTGGAAAATAGCTATTAAGGATTTGTTTTGTTTTTTTTTTTTCTGTATGTAGTATAAGAGCTTCGACTAAAAAAAGTTTATCCTAATTTCCTAAAATCGGAAGAATAGAATAGAATAGAAACTTGGGAATTGCCATATACGTGCTTCGGGTATTATCTATTTTGGAATAGATCATTATAAATGCATGCTACCAGGTCGTAGGCACTTATATACATATGTGTGTCAGCCACTGAAATCTGTTCGCGATAATCGAATTGCATAAATTTACGGCGAACGAGTTGAAAGTGAAAAACCACAGCACAAAATGGCAGCCCAACTTATTTTCACCGTTTTTCAACATTTCCAGCATTTCCACAGCTGTCATTGAAATGTCAACATAACACACCCACACACACACTCGTGTATGTGTGCTACTACAGCGTGTTCGCAATCCACAAACAGCGGATTAAGGCTCAGACTCTCAGCCTCTGTGCGCTGCGTGACGTAAATACTGATGAATACCTCGCAGTTCCCCAGACTCCCCATCCGGGCCCCAAGCGGGGGCAGCTAACAGTGCAGCAATTGTCCTGCTGTTCTGCTAAAGAATAGATGCCTGTCCTCGTGGTTTTACTGTGCTGGTGTTCATTTAGCCGAGGTTTGTCTATTTTGATGAACCAGTTCCTGCCCATATCCTACTGGTCAATTAGTGCTTGCACCTCTTGAAGGTGGTGAACTGTTTCAAATTATTTTATTTAGTAACTCGGTTTAGTAAATGAATTAAGCATTTATTATTGTTGTATTCATTTGAGCTGGTTCATTCAAATATTATTAATAGAGTTTATGAGGCGCACCTCTAATGTATTTCAGCCGATACCCATTGTTCTCTTTAATTAGTCTTTATCACTGTCGAATGGAATTTTTTTTACTTACATACATACTTATCAAAAATAATTCTTTAGTTTATTTGATGTAACTAGTTAAATTGAACTGATTTTTTAATAACAGAATATTATTATAATATTATATCCATGATGTTAATGCCCATGTAAGACATACATATATATTCATTACACTTTACATTTCTTAATTTTAAAGTTCAGTTGATGAATCAGTCTTAATCTTTAAGTTCACTAGCTCTTTCGAATGGACAGTTCAAAGGAGCTATTTCTGAACTTGAAGATACATCTCTATCGCACCACTGCTGCTTCCCATGTGAGAGATCTGTGTGTGGTTTAATTCATTCATAGGTCATGTGGCAGGAAGAAGTCCCGGGCAGACGAATGCACCAAGATTAAGCCACGTAAAATGGTGTCAACATTCGGTTGTGCGGCTTATTTAATGTGATTTCCTATTTATTAGACATACATACATACATTACTGTCTGTATGTACTTGCCTCCAAGTTCAGCTGCCGTCGTGCTGCTCTATATGTATGTATGTATGTGTGGGTGTGTGTGTGGGGGTGTGTGTGCATTACGCATTAAGCCGGCTTAAATATGATTAATTAAATGGTTTAGCTCTGTCTTGCGGCGCATAAAAATGACTAATGGATAGAATAAACTTGTATATATGTACGTATATTTATATAAAATAAATATA